GTTGAGGGCGATCTGCCCTCAACCTAGGGGACACGCAGACAGCTAAATCCCGATGGGGTACGTCCTAGGGGGCACGCAGATAGCTAAATCCCGATGGGGTACGTCCTATGAGGATATACCTACTGACGTCCCCCATCATGATCTACACGGACAGTGTACTCTATCTGTGCCGTACAGCAACACTCCTTAACAGGTACATCTGCAATCGTCGGAAGGCAAAAAAAAAAAAATGTTGTTACTGTTGAAAGAATAACGAGCGCCCCCCCAAAAAAAACAAAAAAACGTGTAAAATAACGAAGTGCCTACCCGCCCTCCAAAAAGCTCTGTTATGAGCCTGGGCGCATATTGACGCCTCCGGGAGGATCCCCACTCTGGACATGGTGAGGAAGAGCACGCAGTAGGCCGACAGCCGTTGGGTGTGCAGGACCAACTGCTGGTGTCTGAGCGTACATGCATCTACAGCCCGTGGAGAGTTTGACCCTTTCCCAACGGGGACATATGCATAGGGGTACACAACTACACAACAAACCATGTTCCCTCAATTCATCCTTCTTTCGCTACCATCCAGATATGACTGGAGAGGAATCGCTTATCTAAGCAGCAACTGCTGCCGGAATGTCGCTCTCTCTTCTCCACGCGCGCCGTGTAGAAGCTCGTCTTGCCGCTCTACAGCAGCAGCAATGTCGTGCGGCGGGTTTAGCTCGCGGCGGTTGCTGTGCCCCAAGTCCGAGCATCTACAGATAGTATAGCTGCTTGCCTTGGTTACGAAAGGAATGACACCAGCCTGGTCGCTATTCGTCTTGGCGTGCTGCGGCTTCTGGTCGCCTATGTCAAGGCTAGCTAGCTCGTCACACGAGGGCGATGCAGGGTCAAGCTAGGCCCTGACCTGCTATGCATGCTCATGATTGTGCAAAACTGGGTTTTTCGTGCATAGGCAAAATCATAAGTTGGAGCGCGTATATCTATACATTTATGCATAAAAGTGTGCGTAACAGGGGTCATCGTGCATGGCGGTGATTATGCACGAGTGAGAAGGGGGTAAGGGGTGGCTCAGACGCTCAGACAGCTCATTGTAACCAAAACAGAGCTTTTTTATCCCCTTCAGAGCCTCTTGGTCTTTTAACTCTTTAGTTTCAAGTGTTCGTGAGCCCTAGCCCTGTTAAGGCCGGCGGACTTGGGGCTGCTGTTTAACTGTGTGTGTTAGCTCGCATGAGAGAGGAGAGAGGGAGAAGGAGGAGAGGCCCCAATTCTCGAGAGAACACGGAGACTCCGCACTATCATCCAAAGCCTCTCAGCACATACCCTTCAAGTTGTCCCAGCTGCGTCCTACGTAACGGCTACTTTTCGACTATCTACTTCTACGCACGAACACCCTCCCTGGTTCTTTACGCCAGTAAAGAACCTCTAGTGCGTCGAAAATACGTCCGAAAAACCGAAACACAACGACAAACCAAAAGTAAAGGGGAAACCCGGCCACCGGATCAAAACCCCTCAGAAATTCAACGCCTCACGCCGATCATATCACGAAAGATTCCAACGGCTCAAACAAAATCCAATAGCCGTCCATATCACCAATGATTCCAACGGCCGTACTGCAAGAAGACAAAGATAAAACCACTCCAGACGCTCGGATTACAAATTCTAGGCAACGCTCTACTACCTCGAGCAACGCCTCTGACAAATCCTTCCGACATGATGGAACGAACTCCTTGCTGTGCAGCACCAACTGATTCTTCAGGTGTCACACACATACAGACAACGCCCTCCCTGTCTATCTACATTCCACACGAAAACTGCATCGAACAGGTACGTTCTCCCTGCCTTCGGTTCAACCATCTGCAATCCTACACGAACTCAAAATCATGACCTGTTTCCAACTGAAAAACCAATCAAACTCGATTCTCCAAAGGATGCCCGCTTTTGAGAAATATACAACCTGCCGAATGTAGCCNCCTGTTTCCAACTGAAAAACCAATCAAACTCGATTCTCCAAAGGATGCCCGCTTTTTTTGAGAAATATACAACCTGCCGAAGGTAGCCTGCTTCAAACAAGGTCCACCATCTGCAACCTACCAAATCAATCCTCAGTTCTCCTTCAATCAAGGATACATCAACTACTGAACCTTCAAGCACAACGACCCAAAACACAAACGCCCCCCCACAACTTGGTAACGCTGTACGACGAACCCCAAGCATCTACAACAACATATTCGCCTGATTGAGAGCGTAGCATCTGATTGAGAGCGA